CTACTACTACTACTACTATTACAATTTCTGTTACTATTACTCTTGCTGTTACTGCTACTATTACTATCACTACTACTGAGCCCCTCCAGCTGAGAGATGTCATTTCGAAACTGGGACCTGACCTTCGAACCTAATGAGTGGACGCTAGAAGCCTCCGGGACTCCAATTCAACACAGCTGTAGGGCACAGTGATGGTTGCAACACATTTGTCCTTGAAGTCCATCCTGTGGCTTAGTGTTTGTCTGCTCCACCCGCAGCGACCGCAATCTTCCACGCCCGAAGCTCAGTCATGCGATCTTCTGCATGGACCGGATGAACTGTGGAGTATCAGCAGGGCAGTGCATGTCCACATCCTGAGTTGGTGTCCTTCACTGGAATCCAGCCGCCCACCCTGTGGCCCCCGAAGCCTCCTTGCAGGGCCCTTGCCGGATCACGCCACCTCGTGGCAGCAGGAAGCGGCCGGCTGCTGGTGCTCGAGCCTCCGCCTCGCGGCCGAAAGCTAAGGCGTCTACAGAATGCTCTGAGGACGAGACGACCAGCTCAGCAACACCGAGGACGAGGGCGTGGTTACTTCGAAGCCTGCAGGACCTCCACCGCCGATCTCGGTCCACCCACCCTCCTGGCGGGATCCTACTTCAAGCCGACGAACGCCACGAGGTAGTGCTGCCCTTGGAAGCACTGCACCAGGAACAGGAGAGCATGCCGTGTCCGGGCCTCCTCCGCCAACCATCCTGATGCCTGTGGCGCCCTCGACGACGCCCCACCATGGCGAGACTCAGCAGCCGCAGCCTTACCGACTTTGATCAACAGTCCTCATGTTCTGTCTCTGAGCCAGATAAACCATCTGCAGAGTTGTTGAAGTTGTATGCCTCCACCTGCTCTCTGCACGAGCTGTCTGCCTTCCTTGATGCCTGGGCTCGTGTTCTCCAGCCCTCCACCATGGGGCGAAAACGAGCTTTTCTGGGTAGACCGAAAGCTGGGCGGCCATCAGCTGGGTCACTGCGAGTGGGACACAAGCAGGTGCAGCAGTGCAGGGCGAGGTGCCTCTTCCAAGGGCAATGATGATGTCCTTGACCTGACTGGGCCAGATGAGGTGCCAGACTCCGAAGATCCTGCCAAGCTTGGCTCACCGACGGACAAGGACCAGGATATGGACGTGGGCAGCAACGTTGTTATCTGTGGAGGCAGCAGACCTCATTTGATAGGAGCGAAGGCGATGGTGTTACCGGCTGCTGCCGGAGCAGCCTCCTTCTTGGGAGAGGATAGCTCCCGCTCGATTGTCCTGACGGACAACAGGCACGACAGGAGGGGCAGGGTTCTTACAGTCGATACTGCCCATCTACGGCTCGCTGCTCGTCGCCATTTTCTCGGCGACGACGGCCTCCATGTGCCTCTCCGTTGGCGGTTATTCCGCCGCCATTGACGAGGTACACTGCACGATGGTTGTTGGGGTGGTCGTCGTACTCCACGATAGTCCCTGCCAAACCCCTCCATAAAGATCAACTTCGTGCTTTGCAACAGGAGCAGGAGAAGCACAAGGCCACCATGGAGCTGCAGGAGAACCACCCATAAGCGCAGGCCAGCCCCGACTGCAGGGACCTCTCCGGACACTGCCTCCTCCAGGCGTGGAGGCCTCCAGACGTCGCACCGATGCCAAGCGCAGACGACATTCGGAGTGGCTTCCCAGGTTTGGCTCTTGCACTATACAGGCAGGAACGGTCACCATCACCACGAACGACCTTCGGCTCGCGAGGTTCGAAATAGCCTGGGCTGGAACTGATGGTCCGGGGTCCGTCGGCATCGTCTGTGGCATCTCTGGGCGTCCCCTCCTGAGTATCAGGTGCAGGCGTAGCGGCCTCTGGCACTGTGGGCACGTTCAGCCGCTCTGCCTCCGCATCGTCATTCCCACTGATGGCAGGGGCTTCCGTCGCAGCATCACCAGGGCCCTGGAGGCCGTCACTACAGGTCGGCGAAGCAAGCAGAAGAAGCAGAACGACCTTCCGCTCTGGTACAGGCGCATGCGAAAGCAGCGGGCGAAGAACAATGCTGGTCGGCAGCACATCCCTGCTCCTCGTCGACCCACCAAGAGGCCAGAATGGCTTCTGCCCATGGACGAGGATGATCTCAGGCCTACCTCCGTACAGAGCAGTCGAAGACTGCAGCGGCCACCCGCTTCTGCTGCCTATCCACGAATGAATGCAGACTGAGCTGCGCCAGGGGTGGTCATATGCAGATCCCAACATATTACCACAACGGAAGAGCTGCCGTTTCTAGATCATTCCTGTAGCAGAATTGTAGCAAACTGCGCGCAATATGCATTGGGCACTCTCGAGATGAAGTGACGATCAACAGAAGATAAACACAAGCAGCTCAGTGCATGCATCATTGCCGATTCAACAAATTTTTGTTCGAGTTGAACCTTCCGACCCCGCGAAATGAAGAATGTTTGCCATCTTTTGGATTTCAAGACAGTCCCGCTTTGTGATTCCGATTTTCCGGCCAAGCTCATGCGTTGGTGGACCGTCGTGACCGAGGACAGACTGATTGCCGTAACGGGAACAGGTTGTCCGTAACGGGAACCCGTGACAGGAACGGGCAGGGATTCCGTAACGACAGCAACCCCGGGTTTTTGTAGCAGCACGTGCCTGCCCCTGTAACAGGAACCACCGGGGAGCTCCCACACTGACTCTCTCGCGTCCGCCTATACTCTTGTTGGCTTAAAAGAGAGGGACGCTTTCCGGTCCCCACGTCTTCAACAGGCCATGTCATGTAGCATTGCAGGAGCCGTGGTCACGAACTTCCGATGCCTACAGCTGAACAATTCTGGAAAGGTCTGCTGGAATCATAGATCGCCTTGTGGCTTCGGCGGTTCTAGTTGCTGCGCAGAGCGATGCGGAAATGTGGGTTTTCATAGTGTGTGCTTGTTTTGGCTTTGCCAAAAAGGTTCGAGAAGGACCATATGTAAGACTTTAGAAATGGGATGACGGAATTTGGCTTCCATTCTGTTGAAATTGGTTGTAATTGTGTGCATGTAAGTAAGGGCTCCGTAACACCACTTAGATTTGAAACGGCGTGGTGCATCCAGACAGTCATCGCGATGACAAGCAGCAGCGGGCTCAAAGTCTTTCCTTGTGAAATTCCAGCGTTTCTAAAGAAAGTCTGCTCTGCAAGCAAATCGGTCGTTGGAGCCGTTTCTGACATAGCTTTCCTGAGCTCGGCGTGATTGAAATTGGATCGTTGGTCGAATTCTTAATTGAATATTTTCCAGATGCCAGCCGGCATCTCTGCATGCAGCTCAGATGAGACAAACTCAGCACCAATGTTGTTCAACGGCCTTTGTTTGGTGATCCGAGCTTGCCGAGTTTTGTACTCGACTTCCAATCCCCAGAAGATGCCAAATCCTCGGGCCATTCATCAGCGTGGCCACAATGCTTTCACCAAGTACCGGCACGATTCAGGAGCACGGCGCTTACGCTTCCCCAGCTACGTGCGGATTCAGGAGCACTGCACAAATGCTTTCTCCCAATTCCGGGTCCTGTTCAAGTGTCTTGACACGGAAAGTTGTCCATGTATTGCTGTGTTTACGATGAATCTGGCTGGCCGGAGACACTTGTGCAAAAGAATGAAGCTTGAGCGCAAAATATCCACCGCGCCATAGCAAGAGCCGCATCCCGCGCAGCTCCACTCGCCGTTTCTCTTTACACTGATCGTTGGAACCACGTATTGGCTACCACACGGCCGGGGGCCACTTGTGGTGTACAAAGCACATGCTCGCAAATGCACGTGGGCCCGGCCAAACCCTGGTAGCCACACAATTTCAATAGCAGTAGCAGCACCATTCGTAGTGCCAGCTAATTAATAGCAGGAATACTAGTAGTAGCAGTAGTAGCAGTAGCAGTAGTAGTAGTAGTAGTAGTAGGAGGAGGAGGAGGAGGAGGAGGACTCCTACTCCTACTCCTACTGGTACTGGTAGTACTAGTGGTACCAGTAGTACCAGTAGTACTAGTAGTACTGGTAGTGGTCGTAGTCGTAGTAGTAGTAGAAGAACCAGGAATAGAAGTGGTGGCAGCAGTCGTCCGTGTGGTGGTGGCCGGGGTGTTGTAGTAGCGTCCCCTAGTCTTCCCTTTCGGAGGGGCTACCATGCTTACCCTCCAAGCACTTCCTGGGAGGGGGGACTCGGGCTCTGTCTCAGCTGGTGCCGAAGCAAAAAGGTACGGAGGTATCTAGTCCACTGCCGGAAAATCTGTTCTAACCCGGGCACGCTTGGACGAGGCCTTGCAGTTGACGTTATCCAGCGCTGCTGTACCGCCAACTTCCTAAGCCCACAAACCCAACTTTTTCAGAGCTCACCACTACCACTTGCAGCCCCAAGCCAAGGATATGTGCCAAACCACCCTGTGCGGTCGAAAAGGTTCTTGTAATCAGTCTTGGCCAGGACGAGGCAAAACGAGCCCTACTGTCGTTGCTGAGCACGGTTTGGTTCCTCAAGGACGGTCGCATCACAAGCCAGTGGCTGTTGCATTTTGTTTGTTCAAGCTGTGCGCTGTGCTATGACTATGAGTTGCGAGGACGGCTACGAAAGCATGGTGGAGGGCCAAAAGCCGGGACAACGACTGTCCAAAGTTACTTTCCAGGCTATCGAGGAGAGATGGCGTTGAAGCATGATGGCTTCCCTTTCCCAAGTTTGAAAAGGTTGGTACCTGCAAGCAAGGAAACACTTGGCGGGCGCCAGATGTCCAAAGAACAGCTCACTGCATTAATGGTGCTCCTTGCACTTCGACTCTCGGATGGAACTGAGTCTCTCGGCGTCTCGGGTTCCGAGCCACAACCCACCAGAAGATGAGTCGTCTCACAGCGAAGGTGGTCTCGGCAAAAGCTCAGACTTTGCCAAACTATGTCCTCCCTCCGAGAGGCGCACCCCGGAGCAGGCCCTGAATAGTCCAAACACAACACAAGCAAAGCCAAATATGCTACAATCAATTCAAGAGTGAAGTTCCACACACGACTGGATGACCCAGTGCACAGGTGTTGGCATATGCCCTTGCCAATCTGGATGGCTATCTCCCTTCGGTTGCAAGTCTACAGGGTGACGTCTACCATCAGATCGTTGCACTTGCAACTCAGCTGATTCGGCGGGTTGGGATTGTTAGTACCTGTCAGCTTTGCGCAACATTACACCGCATGGCACTGATAAGGTGCGAATGCTTGCTGACTTCAACTTTGCTCAGATGCTGCAGGGAGAGAATAATCCGCATTCTGTGTGGCAGCTGCAGTGTGCCAGAGAAGACGAGGGCGAGGATGTGTATCGGAGCCTTGGATCGTGTTGAGATTTGCACCTTTCTTGGCGGCGACAACCTGAAAGTACCAACATAACATTGCCTCAGGACTTTCCTCTTCGTTCAGGTCAGCATCTTGTGCGGGTCGCGCTTCCAAGTTTACATGTTTGGCCATGTCAATTGCCATGGGTAGCACTGTTGACCCCACTTAAGGACAATCTTGCATGTCACAATAATGCTGAAAAAACTTTAGATTGTTCAACAGTTGCAAGGTCACTGGCAGTATGTCCTTGGCTGGCTCCATGTTCCTGACCGAACCGAACGGGCGCTCCGTGATGAAAGGGCTGGCTTGTTTGCACGACCTTACCGAGACTTGATCGTCGTTTAATCCTTGGAGCAGGGGCTCACCATGGCAAGTACGTTACAGCAGCAACGATTTCGCTGCCGAGGGTGTCGATCCTGCTGCGGTGTACTGGAATTACATTTCCAGCCGAGCGGAAGCATTGGACTTGCATGTCGCGACCCCGAGCCACTTGGTCCTAGCCAGGCTTGCATGCCTGACGCGATCTTGGGCCGCACTTTGAGACACGTAGCCCAGTTTGAGAAACATGAGTGCGCTCCAGTCTGTAAGCAGTAAGCACTAAGGAACCGTGCAGGCATCTTCCTTGCAAGCCCTGGCAAACAGTTGGGAAGACTTGACCAATCAGGAACAAGAGCCTTGTTGGCAATCACACTTCCTGATCGAGACGGGCGCAAGTGCTTCAGCTGACAGCCCAGGACTCATTGCTGGAGCTTTTCCTGGCAGATGGACACGAAGACAAAGCCTTCATTCTATTGTATTTGCCCTTGTTCCTCGCGAATGCAACGGCAAATCCGGAACTCGGCCTCAGAGCCTTAAGCTGCAATTCTGGACTAAATAAGTTAAGGAGGAGAAATGTCCGACTTGGCATGGTGCATTGCTTGTCCCCTTCGTTGTCACACATGCATCGTGTTGGCGATCTTGTCTGCGTGCGGTGCTTGGATATTCCTGATTGAATTCCTGCCCCTTTGTGCGGATGATTTCTGAGCATTGCACTATCATCAGGACATGGCTTGCAGTTCCTGGTGGAGCTCCATACGAAATTGATGACACACCGCTGTCTAAACCAGGAGGCCTCCACTGTGACAGTAGACATATCATCTTTGGCATCCGCAGCAAAGAGCATTGACGGCGCCCGTCTCCTCAGTGCTTTGGCTTTTGCAGAAGGACAGGCAGTTGGTCTTCAAGTCTGATGTCATCGTTGTGCTTCGGCTTTACAACATCCAAGGACTGTGTCTCGATTGCTCTCGGATCGTCAAACACGGCACTGGTGTCACAGTTCTGCTGACCGCAGAGAGCTATCAGTTCATGTCAGGCTCGCAGAAGGGGCAATCGCCACGGTTTGGAACATTGTTTGTAGCACTATGGGTCAAAATCACAGGGCCAAGCGGCACAACCCCTTTGTTGCAGTAAGCTGTTTGCTCGTCGTTCTTCTGCAAGGCTACAGAGTGGGTGGGGTCGCTCAACGGAATGCAGCACGAACTTGTGTTAAGGCGGTGGCGATGCATGTGCGTATGTGTGCGCTTGAAAGACTGATGTCGCTCAGCCCGATCTTCACCGGGTGAACCTACTCGTTTTGTGCGAAATCCTATTTCTGAGATTTCAGTATACGTCAGTCAGCAACTACCACAAGACCTGGAGCTGACATCTGCAAAATGTCCTACGAGGTACATTATGGATGTCCGCAAAGCTTATCACCGCCGTGTAGCCAGCACGATGGCGCGAGGTGTACCAGTGTACCTGTGTCAGATGATGTGTGAAAGCCCTCCCTCTATAGCTTGAATACTTTCATGAGCAATTCTTGCGCTGATTTTTTGAACCACTGGCACTGTCAGCAGGCCAGCTCGTAGACGAGGATCGCAAGTTACAGATGTTGGAGTTGGTGGCTGCGCAACAGTTGCTCGACAGTTCAGTACTTTATCTACCTTTCTCGTAATGACACCGAATAGAGTTTGCTTCGGTTTCTCGGCCATTCACTGACGCCCCTCAGAAATGCTCTTGCATCTCTAAAACAGCTAAGCCGGTCGAGGGGAACCTTGACGTGACGTTTGCGATTGAGTTGAGGCGTCGCTTGGAGGATGCATTGATGGGCAGAAGACAGTCGGTGCTGGTGCAGGAAGGACAATCACGACCTGTAGCTTGACAAATTTGGGAGCTGATGGCCGGCTGTTTAGGAAGCACATGACACATTTTATAATATTGCGCGATGTTACGACGTGTGCAAGTATGTTCGTCGCCTCGCCTCGTTCTTCTCAACTAGCATCGGAGCCAAAATTCTGGAAGAATTGATGAAACAACTCCAGGTCCTGTGTAGGTACGTACGGAGACTGGCAACGGGCAGTCTGGGGACGGGATGGTGTAGTAGAGCAGGCCAGACCCCCTGTATTCTTGAGTGGTCTTCTCCAAGAAAGCTTGAGGATCTTTGCTCGAGGCCGGGGAGGTGGTGGGGGATCGGGTAATCTAGGTTAGCCAGGGGAAAAAACTTAAACCTAAACCCTTAAACCGGTAAGGTTTCTATCGTTAGGTGTTGTAGTACTGTACTATGTAGTCCATTGACAGATAAAAGGTGCTATGATGTAAGTATCACTTAGGTGGAGCACACAGCGTCCTGGGTGACGTTGAACCTATCGCAGGGTGATGGATAACGATGCCACAGCAGGGCATGCACGGTCCCGGTGCCGTTGGAGCTTCGCCAACGGGTTGAACTTAAGGGGTGTGAATATTGAGCACACCCCGAAAAATGTCAAGTAGTCCAGCCCAGGGACAAGTTCTGGGCTCTCTGGACAAAGAACGGGGTGGCCAGGCATGGCGTCCTAAAACCTCGAGGTCGGAAGCCTCAACGAATCGGTTCGTCCACAACCGGCGCCAGAATCTACATCTCTGTTTCCGTTTGAGCCAGTGCAGCTACTTTGGTGGTTTTGTTGTGCCTAGCCTAGCCTTATCCACCACGAGAGCCGAGGATACAGTATTGTCAGATGTGTTCTGACCGAGCGGTCCAGTTGCCATCATCTTCTACTGGGGAGACGACAGACGACCTACCCAGTTTACCTCATGATTTCGTCGAAACGAGAAGCACATGCGTGCATGTCAAGCTAACTCGGTTCAGTGTGAGCATGGTGCTCCATAATGTTGTTCAAGCCCAAAGGGGCGACTCTGTGGACAGGGTCGAGTAAACTTTGCCACTTCGCTCTACAAGCCTGTTCAACATAACACAGCAAACCTTGGTATGTCCAATAGCACTTAGCGAAGTGTGGTCCTGCTGTACCGTTAATGCATCGCGCTTTCGGAATGCTTTCTGATTGCCAGTCGTGGTGTCGCTGGCCCGTCCAAAGTGGCGCTGCGATTCGGAGGGTGCGAAGTGCTGCGTGATTGGCAGCCTTTCCGGTTAGGCGCTGAAGCGCCCACATGTGTTGCCTTTTTCGTGCCTGAGGCACAGCGATTGCACAAAGATCCGCTAGGCTTTGCTGCATCAGTTGCATCCATGACTTCGAGCCAGCCCGAGTGCAAAGAAAAGACTTTTCGCTTCGCATCTTGCGTCGACCAAGACTGCAGCTGAACCCGACAAGCCACGTCGCGCAGTCGGAATGCCTGAACGCTACCGCACACACGCCTTTGATGCTTTGTGCCCTGGAATTTGACCCTAAGTTTGCGCTCATCTCTGTCTTTTCCGGGCTTCTTAGCTGTTCGGGCTCAACCCACGGATGTGATCCATCAGCGGTGACGATTGTGGCAGGCCCAAACAGTCAGGAATTTTCTGAAATTCGTGGCGGCAGATGCTGTGTTTGTGCTTTGTGTTGTTTGGTGAATGAGCTGGTACTCCGAATACGTATATGGGAGTTGGACCGGCCAAGCAATACTTTCCGGCCGCAACCGACCTGCCCCCATGACCTGACCAAGCACCTCATACTGGCAATACATTGTAATACTGTAATTTTCTGTCGATTTCTATCTTCATGACGGTCATTATCATCATTGTCATTAGGACTATTACTAGTAGCATTGCCATTACTAGTCTAGTTGTCAATATTAGTATATATATTAGTTTTATTGTTCTCGTGCTTGTTTTCATTCTTGCTTGTCTAAGTGTCATTACTGCTGCTACGATGTGCTCATTATTGCTGTTGTTATGCTTATTGTGATTGCCATGCTGGATATTGTCATTATTAACATTATGATATCATGATTACTATTCATAGTAGTGTGTTTATTACTATTTGTATCCTTTTTCTTTTTTGTATGGTTATTACGAGTGCTACAAATACTGCTTTTTCTGTTTGCGAAGTTGTTAAGTTCTGATATTATAACAGGAACTTCGAAACTGGAAAGCAGAAGTTAAAATCCAAGCCAGAAAATCAGTGTTTGTTGAGCAGTTTTTTTCGACCACCGATCTGGTTTAAAAGGTAAAGTCAGACGCGTCCAAACAGAGGACATATAAATTGAGTTTCCATTCTAGGCAAGAAATCAGAGATCAGAAGGCAGACATTTAAATCAACGGGTACGTATTTCAGTTTAATCCCGCTCTTGCTCTTGTTCCTAGTCCTGTTTAATTCTTGCTCCTGCTCTTGCTCTCATTGCTCTCATTCCCACTCCCACTCCGCGCTCTTCCTAATTGTCATGCTCGTGTTTGTGTTCTATTTCTTGCTCCTGCTCTTGGTAGGGATTCCAGGATACGTCAGATGTGGAAAGAACAAGAAACCCTTTGTTTGAACGATAGCATGGAGGCCTGAAGAATCAGTAGTGATGTACCGATAACATTTTGCACAAAACAACTATCCTGCCCGAAGTAGCACAGAACCTGAACCCAGCAACCCAGCCCTGGCCTAAGAATCCAAGTGCCTAGCAATCTTATACCCCCCAGTTCTAACCTACATTACCACCATCCGACACCCAACTGCTTTATGCCGTTGGTTGCTTTGGACCCTTGGGGTTAAGGTATGCCCGGCAACTTTCAACCACTAAACCCTAAACTCTCGACCCTGTCAGCGCCGAAACTCTCGACCCTAACCCTGAATCCAGTGAACCGTACACCCTGAACCTTGAACCCTTACCGAATCCCTGACAGCACCTTGAAAGGGACCATTTATGAGGAGCCCTCGAGCCCAAAACTCTGCGTGAGCGAGTGTGCGAGTCGAAACCGCGCGAAACCGATCACAGGGCGTCGATGGAGTCGAGCTCGCATTCGCCAAGATCGGTCTGGAGGTACATCAAACGGCCCAGTCTCTCAGATTCGTAAAGGATTCCTTATTTCCGCAGGTTTCCGTAAAGTAGTGTATAAGTGCACCATGGGGCTCTAGCGGCGTATGTTCGGTTTGCAAAGGTTTAACATTTAAGGATTTACTGCGTTTTTGCGAATGTTGAGGGTTTTGCCAGTGTTGAGGGGTTTTGTGTGTGTTGAGGGCTTTGGGGTTCTCGCGGGCTTTTGAGAGCGTATTGAGGGTATAGAGGTTGTCGCGGATGTTGAAGGTGTTGGTGGTTTTGCGCGATTTCATCCGGTACCCGTCGAAATCCTTCACAACATAATTCTGATTACCGCTCAAGCTGACATCCTAGCGAATCAGCATCCCCAGGACAGGTGTAAAGGCTTTAAGGATTTTTGTGTTTCGGTTTTTGAGTAGAAGAAGGCTCAGGTTTTGTTTTGCGCGGGCGCAAGGTTTTTGAAAGCGTCTACACTTTTACGCATACGGCTGCAGGGTCAAGGGGGCAAGCAAGGACTTTTGGTTAAGAGGTTTTAGCCTTCAGGGTTTTTGAAAAGACTTTAACCAACATAACAGTCGAATAAATGAAATCACCGTAAATCTGAAATGAACAGCCGAAATTCATAAAGATAGAGAGTGTTCTGGGCGTTTTCGTGTAGGACCAACTACAGCTTGACGGACTGACATCATCAAGTTTTTGGACTTTTGGGGTTTAGTTTTGTGCTTTTCGTATCGAATGCCTGGGAGAGAGAGGTTTGTGCTTTTCGGGCTTCAATGCTTGAGAGAGTAGTGTTTTTTGGGTAGGCTTTAGGGTGTAGGGGGTTACCAGGGTGTAGGGTTTAGGGTTCCTTACTTGAAAGAAGCTGAAACTCCAGTGTGAAGGTGCTTCAGCCTTGCACCTGAAAGTGTTAGGATACTGATACCGAGAGGCGTCATGCTTTTAATTTCAGGGTCTAGCTTCGATGCTTTCAGATTGAAGAAAGGAGTCTGGTTTGGGGTCGAGGCTGTGTCTTCCGGACAAAACATGCCAGAATCCGCTTTTACTCACTTCCAGCCCCTTTTGAACCAACTTACAGGCGGCGCAACACACATGAACTCGTGTACACCTTCTGTAAACCCTCCTTCAAATCCATAAAACATTTCCTTCTTCCTGAAAGATTCGTTTTCAAACCTACGTTACACTTTAAACCCTAGACCCTAACGCATGAACACACGAAAGATGATCGTGTTCAACCGTGATAGTCTTTTCCAACGCGAGCGTCCCGGCCCTGGCGCTGGGCCAGGCCGCAATCCCGCCCCCCGGTGAGGCTCGTTTAGGGTTTAAGATTTAGGGCTTACGGGTTTAGGGTTTATTTATGGTTTAGGGTTTGTCCAGAAACCTGGCGGCTTAGGGCTCCGGGTTCAGGGTTCAGCAACTCCGGATCGAGCAATACTATGTAAAGTTACACTCATGGTTTAGACATAACACCCACCCACCCACCCACCCACCCACCCTTAGAATGCCATGACATTGGAACATAACAAGTTTTTTTTCATTCACATAAATGAGTTCCATCTACAGTTGGACTTCATTCACCCTTATCTGTCTTCATGTTGTCGTTTGGACTGTCCTATGTCGTACAACAAGCGAGTTTAATTTATGGGCCCTGAATCCTAAACCTTAGCGCCAGCCCACAGCCCTGAGCCCTACATAAATCCTAAACCCTAAAACCAGCCCACAGCCCTGACCTTTAAATCCTAAACCCTGAAGCCAGCCCACAGCCCTGAGCCTTAAATCCTAAACCGTGTGCCAGGAACCTCGCCCAGGCATGTCCGAGTGTGAGTGCTGCAACCGTAAAGCCAGCCCACAGCCTTAAGCCCTAAGTCCTAAACCTTAAAACCAGCCCACAGCCCTGAGCCTTAAATCCTAAACCGTGTGCCAGGAACCTCGCCCAGGCATGTCCGAGTGTGAGTGCTGAAAGCCTAAAGCCAGCCCACATCCCTGAGCCCTAAATCCTAAATAAACCCTAAAGCCCTAAACCCTACGCTGAGCCCTGAACCCTGCAGCCGTTCCATAGGATATAGAAGCCAAAATGAGGAGGACCCCGAGATTTGCCTTAAACCACGAATGAGGTCAATCATTAGGGCTCCCCTAATGATTGACCAAGTTCGTGGTTTAAGGCAAATTTGCCTTAACCCACGAACCCTACTAGGTTTTATATATGATAAACAGAGTTTAGGGTTTAGGGTTTGTTTAGGGTTTAGAGTTTAGGATCTTCTGGGTTGGGAATGCTGCTGGTCTTTCATTCACAGGTTGGCGCGCGAATGTTAGGTTCCAATGCCGGCAGGAAATCATTGGTCTAATAGCGACGTTGTTGATGGTCTGTTTTTGCCTGGCTTGTTGGCGATTGTGTTGCTTTTGATGCTTGCACGGTATGTGGGGGACGTGGTGATCGGAATGCTTGCCGGGTGGTCTTCTGTGCACCGGCGCCGTTGGCGAAAAACATCGTGGTGCCAGGCACTTTCAGTTAGCCACTCGTCCTCTCATGATCTGGCACGAAAGGCGGCTCAGCTGGCCCCGTGTCGGTAACCACTCCGAATACTGGATTGTGGGAGACGAGTGGGGCTGGGCCTCGCGGTTGGCCGTGCAGGAGGGCTCATCCAAAGACCCGGT